ATATCCATCCCTAAGATTCGGTGTCGTATTTGTGTAGTATATATATAGTATGATAACAAGAGTTTATTTCATTGATTTCCAGCTAGCCAGTTTTTAAACGGTGTCAAAATGTGTTTCCAATTATGAGATACAAATTTTAGAGAAAATACTTTAAAAATACCCTAACTAAATTATATTGGTTGAAAAAATATCTGAATTTTTTTTTATTATCCGATTAATACCCAAACTATTTAACGTTAGTATTTCAATATTCGAATTTTTAAAGTGTTCTGGTTTTACTACATAACTATTAACGGTGTTAACCCGACTGATAGAAGTTTATAAACGCCATTAATTTTTAATGAATGGTGTTTGATACAGTGTACTTCCCCCAAATTGATTTTGGAACGTAAGAACCTAAAATCTTAAAATTGTATATATTTTGGATAGATTTCCTCTGAAATTGTATATATTTTGAACCCACAAATTTCGCCGGAGAATAACAAAAGGAGCTGCTCAAGCTCAGATCTTTCAAATCTTCGCTCCGATCATGGCGTAAGAAAGACGAGAATTCCTCTACTCCAATGGAAGTCGAAGATTGACCGATGCGCCGGAGAAAAGCGAAGAGAGACCTCCGACGATCGGTTTATGCGGCGTAGAAGGAGACGCCGACGAACTCCTTGAGCCCAGATCAAAATCACAAGCTTTGATCTGATGCAGCGGTGTTGATCTGATGCGGCGGTGTTGGAGTCGTGTTGTGTGAGAAAGAAGAAGAAGAGACGAAGACGCTTTGCTTTAAGGAAATTAGAGATTTTTGTTTCTTCTTCGATTTTTCATTCGTCTGTTATAACTTTGTTTATTAGTAAAACTTTGATTATTGTTTATTTGTACTGTCTTTAATCTCTCGTTATGTCGTTATCCATTGCTGGTTCGATAAAACTATGAATTCAATCCAAAATATATACAATTTTAGGATTTTAGGGTTCTTACGTCTGATTTTGGGGAAGAACACTATAGTAAAAACCTAACGGCGTTTATAAACTTCTGTTAGTCAGGTTAACACATTTAATAGTTATGTAGTAAAACCAGAACACTTTAAAAGTTCGAGTATTGAAATACTAACGTTCAATAGTTTGGGTATTAATCGGATAACGAAAAAAATTTGGGTATTTTTTCAGCCAATATAATTAAGTTAAAGTATTTTTAAGGAATTTTTCCTACAATTTTATGATTTGTTGGAAGAAATTAGTTTAATATTTATTACTAGAGAAGCAAATAACAAATTTGGTGAGATACATTTGATTCGCAATAGAAAGTTATTTGTTTTATTTGTTATAGTGGTTTTTTTTTTTCACGAACGCACTACAATTCTATTTTAGCCAAATATCTAAGTATCTAAGAATCAATATGGGACTGAGATGCTAATGTGGGAAAACACTGTTATAGTGGTTATGTTGATTTAAATTTATTTGTTTCAGTTTTAGCCTTGTCGCTGTTCACATTCCTTTGGATTTTTGTAATTTTCTATCTCACTCTACCTTTATGTTAATATATATATGTTCAGATAACAAAAACAAAAAGGCAAATAGCTCATATAAACATGTAAGAAGTTCACCCAAAAAAAAAAAGCATGTAAGAAGTTTGATTGTCGTGCAATGTTAAGTAGTTTGCATATGATAAAATTTAGGGTTAATTTATGAGATAACTATATTGAGTCATAAAATAGAGAATATAGCCATAGAAAAACCATAATAAAATGACTAACCAATTTTTATGCAAATTGACCATTATAGCATTATCAATCTTGTTATTCTAATTACATTTTTTACCAAACTTTTAAATTGTTCTGATTTAAAACTCATGTATTTGCAGATATTTACGACTCAGACCGCTGGATCTCCGGTTCAAATAAGGACCGAAAATTTCTCTCGTCCAGTTCCGATTCTGAAACCGAACCAGTTATCGGTGAAACGTCCGACCAAATTTTCGAGATTGGTTGCCTGCTGCTAACCAAGAAGCATGGCGAGACCAAATTTTCTAGATTGGTTGGCTGCTGCGAACGAAAGAAACATGGCGAACCCGAACCAGATTCCATCGAGAAGAAACCAAGCCGCCTCAAATCCGTGAAACTTAGCATCATTTCATTCACCAAAAAATGGGGTAAGACAGTGGAGCTTTTAGTCACCATGATCGGTCTCATCATGAATATCAAGAAGTTTGTTTCTGGGAAATAGTTGGTTATGGTTGAATTCAATTTTTTGTCGTCCAACTAATGGTTTTTATAGTTTCACTCTTGCAATTCAATTTTGTTTCTCACCTTTACTCGCTACTCTATATAACTACTCATGCATGACCGACCGTAAGAACACTCACATTTCATGAAACAAACATTTTGAAAAAAATTCGAAACATTTACTTGCCTCAAATTGGACGACAATTGCACAACAAGTAATAATGAGGGCTACGAGAGATGATTTGCTTCCAATCGGTCGTTGAAAAATGATGGCAAACCATGTCTTTGCTCGTGAGGATTGCATATTTACGAGATAGCATGGGTGGTATCAAAGGCAACCGA